ACAGCCTGAAATGAATGGTCTTTTAAAAGACACAATGGATAGTTCTTTAAAATAGAAATAAAGCATAATAAATGAGAATCAAATTGTAATGTTAAAAACTTTATTTCTCTTTAAAGGTGCAATATTAATAAGCTTATGGGTCACTTGAGAAGAGACAACATCTAGTATGGTGTGATGAAATTTAAAAGTCACAGAATAATTATAAATGGAATAACAAAATTTTCTTTTGTTCTCCAAAATTGCTAATTAAACTAATGATTCATAATTATTATTGTGCTCTACTACTCATAAGGTAATTGTAACTATTAGATATTTAATGCCTTTAAGAGATTTCTGAATTATAGTCACTATTTCAGGAAGAAATCAAAACTCTGAGAAGTCAATTCCTCATCAGACAGCACACTGCCAAGGAATAGCACAAGGAGGATTTGTACTATGGCAATCTTAATTCCATGTGCCTTCAGTGTTAAGAAGAGAGTCCCAGAGCATCATGTTCCAAAATGGCAGCAGCTAGGGAAGTTGTTCCTAAGGATTTTGTTCATAGGCACTGGATCACTACATCCGAGAGAGAAGGAAGCCTGGCTACTGCTCCAGGTGGCAGTGGATCTTTGTGTCATCCACATAGTGCTGATTTTAGGCTGATTCAGAATACAAGAGTTATTGGGTCAGGAAAGCTTCCACCCATATTTCAGAAGAATGGGAGGCCAGCTGTGTGCCCCTGAGAGGGCAATGTGGAAGCTATGAATGTGAAGCCAAAGGTACAGTGGAGACCTCAGAAGTTTGGAGAATCCAGGAACGTGGATTATCTACGGAAAACTGCAAGGAGGGAGCAGAGCTGGCCCAAGAGAGAAGCCATGGTTGCTTCAGCCACTGGCAGTGTCATAGGGGCAGAACCATGCAAGCCCTTTGGAACGCACCCCTTGCTAAGGATTGCCTTGGATGCTTTACATGGAATTACAGGATTTAATGTTTGCCCTGCTGGATTTTGCTCTTGCTTTGTTTTCATTCCTTGCTATCCCTTTGTTTGTAACCTTTGAGGTGGTAATTTCTATTTTGTACCACTGAATGTTGGAAGTATTTAACTTTCAATTATACAGGGGCTTGTGGCTAAGAGTTTGCCTTAAATCTCAGAGGAGACTTTGGACTTTTCAGCAATGTTGAAACTGTTAGGACTTTGACAACTGTTAGAGGTGGACTAAATTTCTTTTTTGTAAAAGAATGTACAAGAGTCTTTGGGGGGACCAAGGGTGGAATGTTATGATTTGTATCTAGATGTCCCTGCAAAGCCTCACATGCGTGGTCATAAGCTTTTTCAGAGGTGACTTGATCAGAGGTGTGTGATGCTGGAATTGATTCATAGTGCAATGCTGTGCTCAAGGGCACTAGGATTAAGGGTGGAAGTGCCACCCAACCTAAGTAGGATAATAAAAGGGGCAGAAAGATGCTCTTACATTCCCTTGTTGTTTTTGCTACCTTCAGTCTGCCAAGAACTGCTGCCTGTCTGCCTTGCCACGCTGCCTTGGAGCCAGATGATTATGGACTGAAACCTCTACAAACTGTGAAGTAAATAAACCTTACCTCCTTTACCTTTGGACATCAAGTATTTTGTCTCAGCAATGAGAAAAGTAACTACCACAATAATTAAACAGAAAGAACTTTCCACATTCTCCCACAACCAATCTGTTTGCTGCCCTGTATAAGAACCCATATAATCTTTGTTCAGTGAAAGAACTAACTGATTCTTAGCCTTTCTAAGGAAATCCTTTCACTTGTTGACTCACTTTCTTACTCCCTCATTAGCTTAGCTGTCCTCTTTCATTTATTACATAGTTTCTAATTTATCAGATGATTTCATTAACATAAATGATAATATTTCAAATCTTAATAAAGTTCTTTCTTGACTCATATTCCTGTTACCCACATTCTATCCCCCATTTGTTTTTACTTTATAGCAAAACTCTGAAAATATTTATCTAAATTTACCACATTACTTCATTCCTTTTCTCCCATGCTTTTCTTTTTTAATTTCCAAACTTCTCTCTTTCAATTTTTACTGTTTTATTAATACATGTTTGCAGCACTAATGATTACATTCATCATAATGAGTACATACACGCATGTAACACATCTTAGTTTTTTTCATGCCCCCCTCATTTTATTCCCCTTGCCCTTTACAAAATATCTAGATATTTCATATTATCTTTTATTTTGTTTTTATTTATATTTTGGGTTTCTCATATAAGAGAAACCATGAAGCTTTGTCTTTACCATTCTACTACTGAATTACTTCTTGTCAAAGTTGCCAAAAATCTCATTGAAAAACCCATTGGTCAATCCTCAGAAATCTTGTCCTCTAAGCAGCATTTGGTCACTCCCTTCCTTTTGATAGGGAACCCTTCACTTTGTTTCAAGGACACTACTGTCTCTCCTTCTCTGACCTCTCCCGATATCCCTTACTCTTCCTCTCATCTTGCATATCTCTACATGTTGGAATCCTGTTAGAGTTCTCTTCTTTTTATATATTTATTCCCTCTACATTGACATTGAGTTCTATGGCTTTCAATAGCATCTATTTATGGAAAATTCCACAAATTTTTTCTCTACTCTTAATTTGTTCTCTGAAGTCTACATCTACATAACATGCAGTAGCCTATAAAATGTCTACTTAGATATCTTAGAAGTATCTCACATTTGCCATGTTGAAAAAAGTGCTTTTGATTTCTACCTGGGCCCTTAAATCTATTTCCACAGTATTTCTCATCTCATGAAGTGGCAACTGTATCATCCATTTTCTCTTTTTTTGTACCACTAAAACAAATACCTAACACCAGGTAATTTCTAAAAAGCAGAACTGTGTCATAATCCTGGAGGCTGGAAGTCCAACACCAAGTCATTAGTCTATTCCATGTCCAGTGAAGGTTGCTCTCCTTACTTCCAAGGTGACATATTAAATGTTATGGCTCACTGGTAGAAGAGCTTGAAGGACAAAGAGGGCCTAACTAATTATTCCCTCAGCCCTTTTACAAGGCACTAATCACAACCATGAAGGTATAGCCCTCATGGTCTAGTAACCTAAGAGTTCCACCCCTTAATATTGTTGAATTGTTGATTCAAATTCCACATGAATTGGAGGGAACACAAACATTGCATCCATAGCACAGTTGTTTAGGCCAAAAGCCTTGAAGATTTTCTCTTTCATATCTCACATCTAACTCATTATATCATATTCCTCTTTTCTTTGAAATATTCTCCCAATCACTTCTCACTCCCAAGCCTCTAATATCCTTTTCCTGGATTATGGCCAGTCTACTACCTGGTCTCCATGTTTTGGTCCTCATCCCCCTAGAATCTATGCTTTAGGTAACATCTTCCAGATTCCAGAATCTAAAATGATGTCACTCCTTCATTTAAAACCCTTTAATGTCTCCCCATCTCAAAGTAAAAGTCAAAACCTAATTCTAGTATGTGAAACCCAACATGAAATCTAAGACCTTTACCTCTTTAACTACCTTGTCTGTCACCCATTTTCTCTCTGCTCAAGTCATATTGACCTCCACTGTTCTTCAAACATACCACACATGTTGTTGCACCAGGTCCTTTATGCTGGCTATTTCCTTCGACTAGAATGCTCTTTCCCCATATTCAACTCCTTGTCTCTGTTAAACTTATGATCAAACATCAGTACAGCAGAGCATCTTTACCTGAGTACCCTGTATAAGATAAAACCACTACTACATCTCCAATATTGTCTATTCTCCTACCCTTTTCCTTCATAGTTATCAATACCATCTTATGTTATAAATATATTTATTGTTTGTGGTTTATTTTCCACTCTAGTATGTCACGTCCATAAAGGCAGGGATTTTTGTTCACTACTAGATCTCCAAAGTTGAGAAAAAGCTCAGTACATAGTTAGTACTCAGTGAATATATTGAGTAAATGAATTTTCAGAGCTATCTTAGATTTTCCTCATCACTAACATTAGTAATTTCTCAGAGGATTCCCCTTTTTTAGGTAAGCTGATATCACTTCAAAGGAAATTGAGGCACAGTAGTGAGTTATAAAAGGTTTCAGAAGAGTCATAAGTAAGAATAAATTCTCCTAAGATTAGGAAAGTCTGGATATACATAAGGAAATATTGCGCTCATAAAATATTTTCATTTGAAAGGATGAGCATTTATCATTTGTCTCTCTCCATTAGAATGTCAGCTTCATGAGGGCAGTGTTTTACCTCTGTTTTGTTTACTACTGTATTCCAGTGGATAGGAAAGTAGTTGGCATATGGTGTGTGCTTGATATTTGTTGAATGACTAATGAGAATGAATAATTCTAAATTCAAATTGTGTAGTCCAAAATACAAACTAGAGGGAAAGAGTATGGAGGCAAGGAATCCAGTTCAGAGGCTGCTGTGGTTGTCCAAAGAGAAGCTGTAAACTGGTGAGCCTGTGGGCTTTTAACTCTCTACAAAGAGCTGAAACTTCAGCAATAGTAGCCAATATATGATCCTACTTGCTAAAGTAAATATTCACCTGTTTTTTTTTTTTTACAACTAAGCTTCAAACACATTTACAGGTATTTCCCACTTATATTCTACTTATAGGGTTTTCTTTTTGGTTAGTGCTGTTCTTCCCATGTTAACTAGAGAAGCAAGTAGGTGTACTTTGTAAAATTAGATTGCTAATTTTAGACCTAGAAAGCTACTGCCATAGGTTGCTAGTGATGTAGTTGATGATGACTGTTTTAGAAGTCATAGAGCCATTGTGACCTCAGTCCTGCTTCAGAAGTAGTTTAATAAACCACAGCAGAGGGGAGCTGAGAAATAAATTGATGCAGATCACCAAAACCACCTCCACCTGGCTACCATAGAAACAGACTGGATTCTTAGCTTATTATATTCTCAGCCAACTGGACTTCCTGAACCAACTGCCAGAAAACATTCTTTGAAGAACAACTTGCTAGAAAGCACTTCATTCGCCTTACAGAAACAGCTTATATGAATCATGCAGTGCATAGGGGATATCAGTGAGGATATATGGGAGGACTGTATCAACCTCTTTCTACCCATTGAGATGTGTTGTGACGCAGCAATTATCACCAGTGCCCCACCCTGGGTATTAGCTGCTTATCCTGATGGTAACTTGTTCCAGTTGACCCAGGAGGAAATTCAGATCTTACTGAGAAGAGAGGAGAGAGAGAAGTTATTTCTTCAGGGAATCACCCTTGCTGGAACCAAATGCTTGTTGATCCGGGACAACCTATACACTGAAGGAAACAACACCATGGATCTGCGTACCAAAGGCCAGAGTCGAGGCAGCCAGGCAGTGACTGTGGTTCAGATTGAGTCTGTATATCTTGTGGTTATGGGTCTAAAAGGAATGGAAGGAGGGCCTCTCAATCTCAAAGCTTTTGAGATGGCAGGTTATATCAGAGAAACCATTCTTCAACACACGACCCATTTCTAAGTAAATAAAAATGAATTGATGTTTAACCTGTGGTTTGAATTTGGTATTATGTATTTCATCTGCTAAATTAACATGTCTAAAAAAAATGAACTATCATGTCTTTCAGGAAAAAAGGAGATAACCAGATCAGGTTTGAAGGGGTATATTTATTGTGAAGCTGGTTTGGGTTGGAGTGTGAATAGTTCTTTCAGGTATTTGGACTTTTAGGCCTCTCTCTCTCTCTCTCTCTCTCTCTCTCTCTCTGTCTCTCTCTCTCTCTCTCTCTCTCTGTCT